CACCTCCTAGAGTAATAAAAATAAAAACAAACAAACAAAAAAACCAAATGGGACCTAGTTAAACTTAAAAGTATTTGCACAGCAAAGGTAACCATAAATAAAACGAAAAGACAACCTATAGAATGGGAGAAAATATTCGCACACAAAAGAACCAACAGGGATTAACCTCCAAAATACACAAGAGCTTAGGCAGCTCGAGATAAAAAAAACAAACAACCCAATCAAATTATGGGCAGAAGATCTGAACAGACATTTCTCCAAAGGAGCCACACAGATGGTCAAAAACCACATGAAAAGATGCTCAACATCACTCATTATTAGGGGAATGCAAATCAAAACTATAATGAGGTATCACCTTACCTAGGTCAGAATGTACATCATCAAAATATCTACAAACAATAAATACTGGAGAGGGTGTGGAGAAAAGGAAACCCTCCTACACTGTTGGTGGGAATGTAAATTGGTATAACCACTGAGAAGAACAGTATGGAGGTTCCTTTGGAAACTAAAAATAGAACTGCCATATGATCTTGCAATCCTACTCCTGGGTTTATATTCAGAGAAAACCTCATAGCAGCACTATTCACAATAGCCAAGACATGGAAACAGCCTCAATGCCCATCAGCAGAGGAATGGGTAAGGCTGTGGTACACATGTACAATGGAATATTACTAAGCCATCATAAAGAATGAAGCAATGTCATCTGCAGCAACATGGATGGACTTAGAGATGATCACACCAAGTGAAGGAAGGTCAGACAGAGAAAGACAAATATCATATGATATCACTTATATGTGGGATCTAAAGGGGAAAATGATACAAATGAACTTATCCAGAAAACAGATACAGACTCACAGACTTCAGAAACACACTTACAGTTACCAAAGGGGAAGTGTGGGAGGGGGCATCAATTAGGAGTTTGAGATTAACCTACACACACTATTATAAATAAAGTAGATAATGAACAAGGACTTACTGTATAGCATGGGGAACTCTACTCAATATTCTCTAATAACTTATAAGGGAAAAGAATCTGAAGAAGAATAGATATATGCATATGTATAACTGAATAACTTAGCTGTACACCCGAAACTAACATACAACGTAAATCAACTGTGCTCTAATATAAAATAAAAATTAAATAGTAATATAAAATCACTAATATAAAATATAAGTATATTTAATAAAATATATTTACATTATGTAAAATAAAAATTAAATTTAAAAAGATACAGAATATCCAGGGAGCTGCTGCTGTGGGTGGGAGAATAGGTTGATTGTGGGAGTTATCAAGGTTCTCCGAGTCTGATGGGTGGTGCCTTAGGGCAGGAAAGGGCACTGCCCCAGCCTGGTGGCATCAAGGTGAGCTTCCTGGAGGAAGAGTAGATGCTCCCTTCATGAGAAGGAGGAAAAAACAACATAAGCCAAGACCTGGGAAGGGATGGCTTAGCCCACTAGCCCATCGTGCTCCTGGGGGCAGACTTGCCCCTGCCTCTGTTGGACGTGTGTCCTCAGAAAGTGTGTGGGGCAGCCACTGGCACTTGGAGGCACCAGTGCGTGGGAAGGCCCGATGTCCTGCAGTGTCCCGTAGCCTCCATGACAGAGATGAGCCCACGCACCCCATGACAGTCCAAAGTCTCATCGGGCGTTTATGTAGGCGAAAACCTGGCTTGAAATTATCTGCATCTAGAATCTAACTTCACCTAACATGTAAGTGCAAATTTTCTTTTCCTGTCCCATTTTAATAGTCACTGAATTTTCCAGGAGTGCAACCACTGTGTCAATCAAGGGAAGGCTGTTCTCTGTTTCATTTGGACAGTAACCAAGAGCTGGTCACCATTTTGGAAAACCACGTCACCAACGGCCTCACCCACAGGGCACACCTGTGACCGTCTGCACTTGTGGCTGTTGCCTTCCTGGTGATCCTGGTACAGGACAAGCTTCTGATTCTCTTCGTGTGATTTTATGACACGTTACCTTCCTTTTAATTCTCCTCCTTTGTATTATAATGAGGGAATTATATTGCTGTTTTGGAAAACACAGGTACAGGTGAATTACATATCTGTGTATTCAACTTCAGGAAATAGAGGCACATTACAAAGTAAAAAGTTTAACAAAAGAAGCATTGGGTCTGAATGTTTGCGAGCCCCTGAGTCAGGAGGAGACAGACGGGGAACTGGTTTTGTGATGGTGTCATCCAGGCTGAGTGGAGGGACCAGCCCGCCTGGGGCACCCACCATGGAGCATGCAGACCTCAGGAATGAGTCAGGATGGGGGATCAGAACCTCGTACCATCCTCTCCAAACAATGCCCTCAGGTGGAGATTTCAAAAGTACCTCTGCCTGGTACTGGCCCATCTGTGTCCTCATATGATCTAGGTAAGGACTGTGGTTCTGAGCACTGCTCCAATTTGGAGAAGCAAGGCAGAGGTTCCTTATGGCAAACAAGACTTTGAGACTAAATCCACCTGAGGTACAGTCAGCCTTTAAGGAGGGTGAATGACCCACCAATGAGGGCAGGAAATGTCAAATGAGACACCTCCAGATCAGCTGGCAGGTCACTTCAGAGGACAGCATCTAAAGCCACTGGGTTCACCAGGAGAGAGAGGGATGCCTTTAATATTCATTTAAAAATGCAGTTTCCTTTTGGGAAAGTGTGCAAATATTTAAAAACTATCAAGTATCAAATTTCCAACCTGCCTTGGACCCCCATGGATGGACCCTGGCTGTCCCTTACAGGGATGAGGCTGGAGCCCAGGCATTGGCCAGATGACCAAAGGCCTCGTAAATCACGTCAATGAGTTGAAACTTAATCCCGAATTTAATGGGGAGCCTTTGGTGGATACTATGCAGGGAGCAACATGACTAGATTTGCATTTTAGGAAAGTCAGTTTGGCCACAGGGTAGGTGGTGGGTGGGAGGGTTCAAGACTAGGTTGGGAGTCTGGCAGGGGGAGATTGTTTAGGGGGCAGGAGAAGACAGTGGGGGCCATGTGGTGGGAGATGAAGGTGGACTAAGGACTCTAGAGAGTGCGGGGTAGAAAGGTTGCCTGAATTGTTCAGGAGGGAGATGACAGCGGCAGTGGGCACGTGCAGCCCTTTTGCAGCCCATGCTGAAGCCAGGCGTTGCTCACCCATCCTCCCAGCACACCTCTATGGCAGGTCCATTAGGATTATCTCTGTCATTTTTACAGGCAAGGAAACTGATACACAGACAGCTTAAGCCCTTGTGGTAGTCACCTGGGTGGGACCGCCCCCCTCATCCAGGTGGGACCCCCCCCTCAGCGACCCTACTCTCAGATTCCAGGACTCTTTCAGAGGCAGCAAGGCCAGGACTCATGACTGACTTGTGCTAAGGAAGGCTGCTGTCTGCATTGGTGGACTTATCTGGGCGGGGGTGGGGAGGTGGTGGGGAGGGCGCTCTGCCCAACCTCATTCAGGAACAAAGAATGCAGGATATTCTGTTCAGCCCGCAGCCCCTAACTCAAACCTGCTCACGCTGGGAAGGCCGCCCTGCAGAGTTGCCTCCTTGAGAAGTGGGTGGAAGTGTTCTTGGAGGGCAGCTGAGCAGGGAGGGTGCAGCCAAGAGCTTCTGTCTGAGTAGACACAGCTCCCCTACGCAGAGGAAGGACCAGACCCTCCTCCCACCACCCCCAAGGTCATGAGCAGCTCTGATCGGGGCCAGCGAGGGTGCAGAACGCCCCTGCCTTCCTGCTTCTCCATCGTCACCAGCGAGTCACCTTAGCCTCGTCCACAGTCCGGAGATCCTTCTGTAGAAGGCCTGCCCCGGCACCCAGCTCGAGGCCAAAACCCAGAACCGCCCCTCCCCCCAAGGCTCCCTGGGCAACCCTCAAGAGCAAAGCCGTCGGCCCTGCGGGTTTGGGGCGCCCTCTGCTGGTCGTTTTCCATCGTCCGCCGTGTGAGGCCGGACCTGCCTCTGGATTGGGTATTGGGGTGTTTGTGGCAGCGCGGTTGCCGCGCCCGCGGGGAGAGGCTCTCCTTTCTCCTCAAGTCGGGAAGGGGAGCCAGTCACAGAGGGGCGATGGCTGATCCCCAGCCGACCAGGGCAGAAGGGCCTGCTTTTCATATCAATTTTTGTGTCCCCATCAATAGCGGTCTGCCAGCTATTGGAGCCGGACCCTCCCCGACTCCACCCTTGCCACAGGAAGTCTTTGATCACATCTCTCATTTAGGATTCACAGTCGCCCACGGTAATCACGGTGTTAAAATTATTTTAATGAGGGGCTTCCCTGGTGGCTCAGTGGTAAAGAATCCACCTGTCAGTGCAAGAGGCACAGGGTGATCGCCGGCCCAGGAAAACCTCAGAAGCCTTGGAGCGACTGAGCCTGTGCGGAGGCGCGAAGCCCGGGCGCCACACCAGAGCCTGTGCGCGGGAGCTCAGGCTCCAGAAGGGGAGAAGCCAAGGCACTGAGAAGGCCGCGCCCCGCCACTGGAAGGCAGTCCCCGCTCCCTGCAGCTGGAGAAACGCAAAAAAGACCTAGGCTAGCACGGCCAAAAATAAAACAAACTCTAAAAACTGCTTTAATGAATATCACTGCTACTCTTTATTTCAGTGGGTGTTGTGTACTGGCTACTGCATTCACAATAGCCCACGATAACGGCACTAAAATTATTTTAGTGGTTATAATTATTACCCCTACTTATTTATTTGATATTATTTGAATGGATACACCAATTCTTATTTATGGATATTTTATTCAATACTATTGTTGGATTTGGAAATTCACTGATATAACTTACTGTTTATCAGATATTATATACTGGATTTGCTGTAGCTCATGGTATCACAGCATTAAACTCATTTTTATGGCTAGAGCCACTCCTCCTGTTTATTACACATTATTTGAAAGGATAAAACCACTACTGCTAATAACTACCACTCAATGAGTGGCCATGATCTGTCCATGAGGCATCACCCCGATAGAGTTTCAACCGCACTTTTGTTAGCAAGTCCCTTTTTCTGAGAAGAAAACTGAGGCCCTCAAAGATTCAGCCCCATGCCCAGGTCCAGTGGCTTCGCGTGAGCCTGCCGATGCAGGGGACAGAGGTTCGGTCCCTGGCCCAGAGGCTTCCACGTGTCCGGGGCAACTGCGTCCCGCGAGCCACAGTCACAGAGACCCGGCCCCACAACAGGGGAGGCACGGCCGAGAGGCCGGTGCGGCGCGACTAGGGCGCAGGCCCCACTCGCGGCAACGGAACAGTCTGCCGAGCAACGGACTCAGTGCAGCCGAAAAAAAAAATAAAATGAAAAGGTAAATAATTAAAAAAAAAAAAAGCCCCTGCCTGAGCCGCGGGCCGGGCCGGTGCTCTCCCACCTTCACCTTGGCGCGCCCCGTCTCTCCCACCCCGCCCCGAGGCGGTGGCAAAGCTCTCGCTGGGCGCCAGCCCCGAGCAGCTGTGAGGTCGCGCCGGACCGCAGAAGCGCCCGAGGCCTGACGCGTGGGCCTGACGCGTGCGCACACCGCTCTCGCGGGCCTTCGGCGCCGGGGCGAGGCTGAGGGGCCCCCGTCAGCCCGCGCTGCGCGGCCGCGAGGCGCGCTTGGCCGAGTCCCGCCGTGTGATCAGGCGTGTGGATTAAAGAGAGCTCACGTCTTGGCTGGGGAAGAACAGTCTCTGTAACGACGTTCTTTCCAAACGAACCCATTCCGGCCCTGGGGGGCGGGGGTGGGCGCGCGGGGTGCGCCCCGAGCTGCCGGCGGTCCTAGGGGGCCCCTCAGGGCTCTTTCCGGAGACTCCTGTGGGCCAGAGAGGGGGCGGTGGAATTACCAGAATTAGCCCTCACTGAACACCCTCGACGCCGCTGCCGCCTTCCGGGCCCTGTGCTGGGTGTTTTCATTTGCCATCTCAGAACAGCTCGGTGTTCACCCGTGTGGAGACTTGAGGCACCGAGATGTTAAATGACTTCCTGATCCAGGGTCCTGCAGTGCAGGCGTGAAAGCCCTTGGATTTGAACTAGGGTCTTTCTCACGCCAAAAAACCCCATGCATCCCCCACTAAAGTGACATCTGTATTTGGCCCGTGGCCCGCTCTGACTTCCAGATCCTTTTCTCCTCCACATCCACGCAAGACCAGTCTTATCCTACCTGGCAACACTGTGCGGTGTTCAAGTGCACGGGCTCAGGGATCGGCCCATCTGGGCTTTAATCCTGGGCCTGCTACTCTCTAGCACCAGGCACTCCTGCCTCAGTTTCCTCACCTGTAAAATAGGGATAATGACTGTATTATCTACCTCCAAAGGTCACATGAAGAGTAAATCAGTTAACATTTTCATATGTAAAACTCTTTCAAGAGTCTGATGCAAGATAAAAATGCTCGACAGACATGGGCTTGTAATCACTGATGTACTTGCTCTTGGCCTTGGCTGCAAATCAACCTGGGAGCTTTAGAAAAATGCCAAAGTGTGGGTCCCACCCCAGAGATTCTGATTTAATTGGTCTCAGGTGGAGGCCAAGTGCAGGTGTTTGTCAGAGCTCCCCAGATGATGCCAATGCCCATGCAAAGGTGAGCTTTATCAGGATAGAGTCTCCACACTCCAGCCAGTGTCCCAGGCACCCGGGCAGTGGGTGGCACCCAGCAGGTGTCAGGAAGTGCTGGTGGGCTGCTCAGATGCCTTGTGGGTCTATGTCATTAGGAGTTTGGATCTTATCTCTCATCAGTTAGGAGGGAGGTCACCCACTCAGACAAGAGGTCATCAGCTCTGAAATAAAGAGGAGCTTTGTCCCATCCTGAAAGTCCCTAACCCAAACATGAAGTCATCCCGGCCCTGCCTCTGCCGAGGGCTGTGTGAGTTCCGCCCAGACTAAGCTGAGTCCCTGGAATTTCTGAGAAGGGACCCGCCCCATTTCTTTCTAAGTCACATGCTGCTGGCCTCTGGCTTCCCTGGGTTGTGCCAGGAGAAATTCAGGTCCAGTAGGGATGAGGTGGCAGGCAGAGGCTGCAGAACTCCAGCCCGTGGCTCTGGTCCCAGCCACACCCCCGCCCCCTCTGCCCGAACATCCAAACACCTCTCCTGCAGAGGAGGTTGATACATGTTGGCCTCCTTTATACCATTTTACAAATGATTGCAACTCTCTAGGTCTTCCATTTCTTTGTCTGAAAACATTTTGCAGGTTTCAGTGAGGATTCAAATGACTGCAGACATAGAGCAGGTCTGCACTGAGTGGTGGTTACAGTAAACAAGGATTTGATTTAGGTCATACCTGAATGGCCCAGTGGTTTTCCCTACTTTCTTCAATTTAAGTCTGAGTTTGGCAAAAAGGAGTTCATGATCTGAGCCACAGTCAGCTCCCAGTCTTGTTTTTGCTGACTGTATAGAACTTCTCCATCTTTGACTGCAAAGAATATAATCAATCTGATTTTGGTGTTGACCATCTGGTGATGTCCATGTGTAGAGCCTTCTCTTGTGTTGTTGGAAGAGGGTGTTTGCTATGACCAGTGCATTCTCTTCACAAAACTCTATTAGCCTTTGCCCTGCTTCATTCTGTACTCCAAGGCCAAATTTGCCTGTTACTCCAGGTGTTTCCTGACTACATACTTTTGCATTCCACTTGCCTATAATGAAAAGGACATCTTTTTTGGGTGTTAGTTCTAAAAGGTCTTGTAGGTCTTCATAGAACCGTTCAACTTCAGCTTCTTCAGCGTTACCAGTTGTGGCATAGGCTTGGATTACTGTGATATTGAATGGCTTGCCTTGGAAATGAACAGAGATCATTCTGTCGTTTTTGAGACTGTATCCAAGTACTGTGTTTCGGACTCTTTTGTTGACCATGATGGCTACTCCATTTCTTCTACAGGATTCCTGCCCACAGTAGTAGATATAATGGTCATCTGATTTAAATTCACCCATTCCAGTCCATCTTAGTTTAGTTCGCTGATTCCTAGAATGTTGACATTCACTCTTGCCATCTCCTGTTTGACCACTTCCAATTTGCCTTGATTCATGGACCTAACATTCCAGGTTCCTATGCAATATTGCTCTTTACAGCATCGGACCTTGCTTCTATCACCAGTCACATCCACAGCTGGGTATTGCTTTTGCTTTGGCTCCATCCCTCCCTTCTTTCTGGAGTTATTTCTCCACTGATCTCCAGTAGCATATTGGGCACCTACCGAACTGGGGAGTTCATCTTTCAGTGTCCTATCTTTTTGCCTTTTCATACTGTTCATGGGGTTCTCAAGGCAAGAATACTTAAGTGGTTTGCCATTCCCTTCTCCAGTGGACCACATTCTGATGAACTATGGATGGAGGTTTGTGACATGAGGAAAACAACAGAATGGGAAAGACTAGAGATCTCTTCAAGAAAATTAGAGATACCAAGGGAACATTTCACTCAAAGATGGGCTCGATAAAGGAAAGAAATGGTATGGACCTAACAGAAGCAGAAGATACTAAGAAGAGGTGGCAACAATATACAGAAGAACTGTACAAAAAAGATCTTCATGACCCAGATAATCACGATGGTGTGATCACTCACCTAGAGCCAGACATCCTAGAATGTGAAGTCAAGTGGGCCTTAGAAAGCATCACTATGAACAAAGCTAGTGGAGGTGATGGAATTCCAGTTGAGCTATATAAAATCCTGGAAGATGATGCTGTGAAGGTGCTGCACTCAACATGCCAGCAAATTTGGAAAACTCAGCAGTGGCCACAGGACTGGAAAAGGTCAGTTTTCATTCCAACCCCGAAGAAAGGCAATGCCAAAGAATGCTCGAACTACCGCACAATTGCACTCATCTCACACACTAGAGTAAAGTAATGGTCAAAATTCTCCAAACCAGGCTTCAGCGATACGTGAACTGTGAACTTCCAGATGTTCAAGCTGGTTTTAGAAAAGGCAGAGGAACCAGAGATCAAGTTGCCAGTATCTGCTAAATCATCAAAAAAGCAAGAGAGCTCCAGAAAAACATCTATTTCTGCTTTATTGACTATGCCAAAGCCTTTGACTGTGTGGATCACAATAAACTGTGGAAAATTCTGAAAGAGATGGGAATACTAGACCATCTGACCTGTCTCTTGAGAAACCTGTATGCAGGTCAGGAAGCAACAGTTAGAACTGGACATGGAACAACAGACTGGTTCCAAATAGGAAAAGGAGTATGTCAAGGCTGTATATTGTCACCCTGCTTATTTAAATTATATGCAGAGTACATCATGAGAAACGCTGGGCTGGATGAAGCACAAGCTAGAATAAAGATTGCCGGGAGAAGTATCACTTAACTTCAGATATGCCGATGACACCACTCTTATGGCAGAAAGTGAAGAGAACTAAAAAGCCTCTTGATGAAAGTGATGAAGGAGAGTGAAAAAGTTGGCTTAAACCTCAACATTCAGAAAACTAAGATCACGGCATCTGGTCCCATCACTTCATGGCAGATAGATGGGGAAACAGTGGAAACAGTGTCAGACTTAATTTTGGGGGGTTCCAAAATTACTGCAGATGGTGATTGCAGCCATGAAATTAAAAGACACTTACTCCTTGGAAGGAAAGTTATGACCAACCTAGATAGCATATTAAAAAGCAAAGACATTACTTTGCCAACAAAGGTCCGTCTAGTCAAGGCTATGGTTTTTCCAGTAGTCATGTATGGATGTGAGAGTTGGACGGTGAAGAAAGCTGAGCGCCAAAGAACTGATGTTTTGAACTGTGGTGTTGGAAAAGACTCTTGAGAGTCTCTTGGACTGCAAGGAGATCCAGCCAGTCCATCCTAAAGGAGATCAACCCTGGGTGTTCACTGGAAGGACTCATGTTGAAGCTGAAACTCCAATACTTTGGCCACCTCATGCGAAGAGTTGACTCACTGGAAAAGACCCTGATGCTGGGAAGGATTGGGGGCGGGAGGAGAAGGGGACGACAGAGGATGAGATGGCTGGATGGCATCACCAACTTGATGGACATGGGTTTGGGTAGACTCCGGGAGTTGGCGATGGACATGGAGGCCTGGCATGCTGCGATTCATGGGGTCGCAAAGAGTCGGACATGACTGAGCAACTGAACAGTAAACAGTCACAGGCTGTTGTGTCAGGGGTGGCCTGGGAGGTGGCCAGAGTGACCTCCTGGAGGGCGGATTGCGTTCACCTCCCCTAATGAGGGGCACCTGACTGTGCTGAGCTGGGAAAGGGCTGTGCGGGTTATAGACTCAGATCTGGCCCTGAGTGGGGAGGCCAGAGGCTGGCGAACAGCAGACAGAGAAAGTGAACCTGGCACCCAACCTCTGCTGCCTAAAATGTTCCTAACTGGGACCTGACTGTGGACAGAGAGAACATACTCAGGGACCAGCATGGGTTCTGTTTGCAGTTCTGGAGCTGAGCATCCTCATCTCTGCTCTTCTGGCCCCAGCTGCAGACCCCAAGCTTGGGAAGCAAGTCAGAAAATTCTCCCCAACCCCAAGACGACGTTTCCCCAAAGATGTCAAAGGACTCACACTTCCTGAGTTCCTCTAGGCATGGAGCAATATCCCTCACAGGCAGTACACGC